AAAATCAGGTAAAGTGGACATTCGCGCGCGCAAGACGAAATCCTTCCAAAACCTTAGTGTTCGTAGCGATTTCAACATAAAAAACATCAAAAAACCAATGGTTTTTTCAAAAAAAAAAATGTCAAAATTTCATCCCGCGCGCTCTTGCGGATTTGTCGGAAACCCAACACTTTTTAAACATTTCTGTCAAATGGGCTTTTCCGTGTATTTTCCGTGTATGTGGCAGGGACTCACGGGTGTATGCCTCTGCCTCTCGACGCCGGAGAGTACGCGCCAGTCCAAGGAGAACGGTATGGTCGAGAACCAGCGCCGTATGGGAGGCATCGAGACCCCAGAGTGGATGGCGTTCGCTGTATACTTCTACCCAGGTTTGGTATTCGGCAATTTTTCTGGTTTCGCAGATCCAGCCGCGCAGTATCTGGGCACACTTTCGGAAGTATTCCATCGGCTGTGCACCCAAGCTGGTATAGCGAACTGGAGATCGCACGTATTCGTCCGGCACGACGGCTGGGTGTATGCTGGCTTGCGCAGGCTGTTGCAGCTCCTGCGTATTCACGTGCATTCCGAGGTGGTATCAGGTCTGTCATACAGGCGCACGGCGAGCCTGGATGTATTTGTGGCAACACACACGGGATCCATGGGTATGGAGCCGCCATCTATGGCTCTGTGGAATGCCTCCCACGACGTCAAGGATGGTATCACCGTTTTCCCGAAGCAGGACCATTGGTGGCACATGCCAGTATGGCGTTCTTTCGGGCAGTCCGAGTATGGGAATGTCATGGATTACCGGGTGGATCTGGGTATGCCGGCGCATGTCCAGGGTATCCTGGCGGCATTGGCGCCCCGCGGACGCGCGGGCGATGTATCCGCGAGGAGGCGTATCGGCACCATGCTGGGACACTTGGCCCCAGATGTATTGGTGCCTGGAGCGCAGCTTGCAGTATTGCGCCCGATGCGCGCCATTAGAGACAGGCGTGTGCCAGAAGATGATGAGCACAAAGACTCGTCTCTTTAGTATGTCTCCAGAGCACGTATGTGTCCAGAGCCGCCGCGCCTTGTCCTGCTCCTCCTCCTCCTCCTCCTCCTCCGGCGGGGGGCGTGAGGATCCGGCATCGCTGACATGGGACAACCATCGGGACCACCATCGGAACAACCATCGGGACAACCATGGGGGCAACCATCGGGGCGACGATCGGGACAACCGCAACCATCAGGACAACCATCGGGACAACCATCGGGACAACCATCGGGACAACGATCGGGACAACCATCGGGACAACCATCGGGAGAACCATCGGAACAACAATCGGGACAATCATCGGGACAATCATCGCGACAATCATCGGGACAACCACGACCATCAGGACCTCCCGCCAGAGAGAGGTAGCCACGTGTATTTCGTAGACGAATGAGCCAGTATTGCACATTGAGGCCGGAACGACAACCACAGAACAAGAATGAGCATATAACAACAACGGAAACAAGTCCTGTGGTATGCTGGCGCCACGCACGTGGTACCACTCAAAATAATCTTTGCTTGTGTGGTACAGAAACGGAAACGTCGGAAAACGGTACAGGTGTCCTGTGTTGGAACAGGGGGATAAGTCGTGTACTAAGCTAGCTTCCACAAAATGTTACCGCAACAAGTCATTGTACCCATGCGCCAGTGTAGTAGCCAAGGTCGTCCGCAGGCCACGAAGTGAAGTGTCCGAACGTCATAGGGCGGGAAGCTGGGCGTGGGCGGTGGCGAAGAGTCGTCCTAAACTTGGTAGAGCTCGAACCGGCCCCCCCACAAAGTGGGGGCATTGCCCGCCTCCTATGAAAACCCTGGCACTGGTGAGAACGGAGTGTCCCCAGTCTTAAATGATTGTTGTTGTTGTTGTTGAACTCTCACTTTTAAAGAATAATCATTGTTGACCCCCCCTCTGGTGGCCATTGTGTTTTTCAACTGAATTGCTTCCCCCGGGGCTCGCACCTTTGTTTTTTTCTCAGGGAAAGTCACTCGGCTCAGACTGGGCCCCTTGCCTCCGGTTTACACCGACGGCTCCCACCTGATATGTCTTCACATGCTATTCCCAAATCGCGCTCTCGCGAGGGATTCCCTCCCAATTCATGTGCGCACCGCGCTCTCGCGTAGGACTTGCTCACAATGTATTCAGGCGATGCGCCCTCGGCGCTCAGGAATCACGCTCTCGTTTTGGCTATTCTCACGATTTGCTTGGGAGTCGGGCTATCGCTCGAGATTTCCTCGCGATGCATGCAGGACCCATGCTTTAGCAACCCGCCTGCTCGACCTCGTCGCCTGGGCCCGCCTTCCGGACCTGCCCGCTATGGGTCTGCCCACCCGATTACCACTTGTGTTCTGCTCCTTGCCCCCCTCCTGCTAATTTCTCTCGTGCTCCATTTTTCTCACCCCCCCTTCCACCCGTTTTCTCCCCCCTTGTTTCAGGAGCTGCACTAAATGGAAGCGCGAGTATTTTTCGCCGACCTGGCGGCGGAGGCGGACTTTGACCGCGTGCCCAATCTTGCACTCTTCACGCCCGGCTGCGCCGAGCTTGATTTTCCATCCCAGGTTCAGCAAGGGTTCGCCGCATGGTGCTCTGATTCAGGGGTGGATTTGTCCATTGCTACGCTTGTTGGTGACGCCCCGCCAAGCGATTCGCCGTCGGGCTCTTTGGAGGCCCACCCCTCACCGCCCCGCTTGCTGCTGCCCCCGCGCGAGGCCCGCGTGTCCAGGGAGGCGCGCGTCGGCAGTTCCAGACACAGGCGGTCTCTGGGCATGCACTCCAGCTCCACGTCAGTGCGGATCGCAGCCCTCGGCGAACTAGGCGTGATATTCAAACGCGACGACTTCGCCGGCTCCTCTCGACTCTCCGACGCCCTACCCAACGCCGACACTCGTCCGTACAAGCAGAAGGGGCGCATCACCAGCGGCGGTGGGCGCTACTGCAACAGCCGAGACTGCCACAGCCGAGACTGCTACTGCCACAGCCGCTCGCGCAGTTGGAGGCGGGCGCTATTGCCACAGCCGAGACCAAGCTGGTCTGGAACCTTCACCTCGCACGAGATCTCCGAGTGGACGCATCTGCCATCTCCAAGTCCTCCCACGACTGCTCGGAGGATCGACGTACTTCTTGGGGGTACCATTCAACGCAACCGCGGTTCCCTGGCGCTGTGGCTGGCAACGTGGAGCGCAGGTGGTCTTCTCACGGTCAATCTCCGCTTTGGCAAGGCCAAGCTTATCGTTTGTTTCCACTACTGCGACAGAAGTACATCATTTTGTTCCAAGATGTTCATGGTGACCTACCGAGGCTGCAAAGTGTTTTACAAGCGCTCCCTGTCCACTACGATACCATGTACAATGATGGTGGTGATCGTGGCATTGGCGACGCGGCTTTCCTCACCCCCAAAAATCCAGACATACATTGATCTCACTGGCCTCCACCAGCTCCACGCGGCATCGGGTGCACAAACAGGTTCGGCAAACAGTTTTTCATCCTCCTACAGCTCCTCGCCAGGCTCCACCTCAATTCCCGACGCTTCGTCTGACGGACGACCCGAATCTGACCCCAGCGCTCATGATGGCGATGATCACATTGTCCTTTTCTCCACAGCCACTCCCCGATGAATCACACCTGCTGGCCAGCGCTTTTTCAGCGACATCATATCTGGCGGGTTCCCCATGGCGATCATGCCACCTCAAATCCCGTTGCCCTGCCGTTTCACGTGGTTGGCCTCATGTCTGAACGTTGGATTTCCAGCGTTTTATTCGATGATGCACATATAGACGATTCCGCGCAATGGTTTGAGTGGTGCTTTCCATGTTCTTCGGTAGCTTCAGCGCCATCGATATGGCTTGCTTTGCTTGCCAATGTTGACCATGATAACTCGCTATTGCGTCTCTAAGTTTTGCAGAGAACATCTGCGCGATGGCATGGCAAGAGGTCGCAGTGGCTCGGAATATGAATTGGGATTTTGTTCTCAACGAAGGCGTCATCAATCCTCAGCGCCGGCGTGAACTTGCCCACCGTCGCCAGCTCCACGACAGATTTCGAGGGCGGCGTGGCCCGGATCACCCGCGTGAGTTGGCCTCCCCCACCTGCGAGGACGGGCGCTCAAGAGGCCGTCCAGACCCATTTCGACGGCACCTCGACGTTGTCACTCTCAGCTCGTTTGCCGACGCACGTTTTCAGATTCTCGGCGTCTTCCATGCCCGAGGCCCTCCTGAAGGTTGCGAGTGCTGCGCCGCGGCCCCCGCGGTCGACCGCTCCGGGCGTGGCGGGGCCCCTGCCGCCAACGAAGGTGCTCCCCCTCGACCTGCGCGGCCAGGCGAAGCGGACCGACTTCCACATCGGCCCGTCGATCCGCTGACTCTTATGGTCCAACCTCGCGCTCGCCAGGCGCGGGCTCGGCTACTCCGCGAAGCGCGACGCCCCGCAGCGGGCCGAGCGCCTTGTCCTCAGGAGAGATTAGACCGCCCCCGAGGAACCTGAGAAGCCCGGCGCCTACGACGCGGTCGAATGTCCCCCCCCCTGGCGACGCGGCGGGACTTGGGGCGGGGGTAGCTCGACGAGATGCCGGCGCCCGTTCGCCCCCATCTTCCGATCTTCTGGTTGCCCCACCCTTCCACTCCGACGGCGTCGATGTCCATGGCCACGTCGCCCGCCGATGAAAATAAGGCGATCTTTCAGCATTGGCAGGCTTCTCAGCGATGGGCCCAACATCGAGCATGGATAGAATTTCCTTGTTTCTTGGTGACTGCAATATCATCAATGAACCTGCGGTTCAGGTTCGTCGCCCCGGGCCCCTTCAATCTCCCACTTCAGGAGGGCAAGCACTTTTGCAACCCAGTTGGAGCAGACATTTTTCATTCATGACGGAGATCACCCCTGGAGAGCGGACGCGATGCGACCCTAGCGCCGGCGCCCAGGCGCGCATTCACCGCATCTTCTGCAGCCTTCCTGCCCATGCTTCTCTCAACCTCCAACTTCAGGTCCGCGCCCAGCGTGATGCGATTATTCTTTGTGACCGTGCACTCTCTGACCACGCCATCCCGGCGCCGCGCGTAGACGCGGCGACCCCGCTCAAGGAGCACGCGCAGCTTCTGTCAATGTTCTTCCTGACGCCCCCCACGCGCGCCAAGTTCTACAATCTCCTTTCTCAGCGAGCTAAGGGCCCGGCTTCCGCCCCGTCGCTGGCCCGCTGGCACGGCGGGCGATCAAGTCACACATGGTCGAGGCTGCGCGCCTAGTCGTCACCGGCAGCTCCCCAGTGGGCAACTTGGACAGGCCCCCGCTGAGGCTCGACTCCTGGTGCGCCGGTCGATTCCGAGGGCCGCTTGGCGCCGGGGCATCGCATTGGCTGCCGCTCTTCGCGCGATGGATTTGCGCGCTAGCCGCTTGCTCCAACTGGTGAACGATCGCGCGCAGCTCGTGGATTGGGCGGCGTTTGCGGAGCCCCCCCAGAAGGCCCACCACGACCACCACCTACTGCAGAAGCGACAAGCTGCGGCAGCGGCCCAGCGCGCGGCGCGGAGGGGCCGCGAGTTGGAAGCACCCCACCAACAGAAAGCAGCTCGCACAGGGCATCGCCGAGCGGGAGCATGGGCCCCCTTTGCCAGGGGCGCCCAATTAGTGGGCATTCGCACCCCTGGCAAGCAAACGATAACCAAGACCCCCCGCGACATGGCGCAGGCGCTCCAAGCCCACTGGCCCCCTTTCTTTGCCGGCAAGGATGTCGACCGCCATGCTGCGCGTACGTCTGGTCGGCAGCGCGCGCCCTCCCTACCTTGACCTCCGCAACTCTTCTCCGCCGACCCCTGCTGCGCTCAGGAGGGCAGCTCAGCGTGCCCGAGCTTTTGCTTCTGGGCCCGATCGACCCCCATGCCGCGCGCGGCCCTCGGCGCCCAACGCGTTGGACACGCCCGATGACCTGGCCTGGGACACGCTGGAATCGGGTCGGGCGCCGACGGGCCTCAACGGCTCCGTCTTCTCCTTCACCCCGAAGGGCACCGATGACAACGACGCCGCCGTCTGCGCCTGGGCGCCCGACGCCCTTCGCCCGATCTCGCGCAAGCACGCCGACAGCAAGTTTTTCGCAGCTGCGCTCAATGAGCAGACGCGTATTCCAGTCGAGAAGCATGCCCACCATATTCAACAAGGCTTCATCCGCGGCCGCAATTTCGGCCGCAACATCGCGGTCATGGATGCGCGCGGTCGCGCTGCATGCCTCCCACCAGACGCAAGTGCGGACCGCCCTGTGCAAGTTATCGTTTGTCATCGCGGCTGCTTCTCCATTCTTGGGCCGCGATTGGCTATTTGCCGCGTTGTCGAGTTCCTGCTTCGATCCAGATTTCGCCGACGCAGCGCGCGCCCTCTGTCACGACGCCCATGGAGTGGTCTCGTTACACGGCGACCGCAACCACATTTGTCCCTTCTCTGCCGGGGCGGCGCAAGGCCATTGCAGTGGACGTCGTCATCCGCGCGTTCGACCCACATGCTGGGTCCGCTGTCGTGGGTGCTGCCGCTGCGTGCGCTGATGGGCTTGGGCTGCGTCTCAACCGGCTGCGGGATTTACCAGGACTGCACTCGGTCTTCAATGCCGCAGAACGTCTTGGGCATCTGCAGCCCCGCTCAAAGAAATGCACAATCATTCCACGGTGGGCCGCAACGACACCGCAGGCGCAGGAAGAAGTCCGTGCGCCCCTCGCCAGCAACATCCCTGAATGGGGACACTTAAACATCCAAGGTGTTGGCACTTACCCCGGCGCGGAGATTGGGCCCGCGGCGACGCATTCACTGCAGAGGCAGGCGTCGTCAAATAAATGGTTCGACGCACAGCGTGGCGCTCTCTATAACAGGAGCCCCCACAGATGTCCTGACCAGGCTTTACCAGACTTTCTGTATCACAGATCACGGTGTTCGGCTACCTCATGCAATTCTGCGACTTGACACGCAAAACTCTACATCGTGGAACCCGCGCCCTCCATCGGGCACCCCAGTTTCCTCCCAGCACTTTGCGGCTTGCGGATATTGCGACGCTTGCTACTTGGTCTCCTGCCCCGACTCCACATGGATTGGTGCCTTGCAACATTGTTTCGTTGTGGCGCGCGTCGCAATGCAGGATTCACACTTGGCGTCGCTGCCCCGACCTCCTGATCGACGCTGCCCTGGAGCAACCTCCCGCTAGCGTTTCAAAGTAGGGGCCAATGGTCGCCTGCGCTCTGGCATGCTTCGGCGGCGATCGTGCTGCGATTTGCCCGCGCGCAAGATGGGGCTCACGGACATCCCAATCAAGATTGCTCCTAGCCAGATGGTCCAGACCATTCGTGGCACGCAGGATCAGCATTCCGAGGCCACCAGCGATGGGCCGCCGCCACGTCCGCAACGGTTGCTGACGCGAGCACTCACCCAGCTTGCCCACCCTGGTCGTCTGTGGCACACTCTCTCCAAGGGGATCACCGCATGCTTTGGCCCAGATGTCGCTCGCTCGCGACCTCCTGCGGCGCTGGCTTCATCTGCGCGAGCACTTACGTCAGCTCTCTGCGGCGCGGCGCTGGGCTGCACTCAAAACGCTCTGCGGGGGATGGCACGCGACACATAGAAGACATGCGCGGCCCGATCGAGCGAGTTGCTTCCGGGGATGTGCCGAAGCAGCGCACCCGACTGGCCCGTCTCACACGTTTGCCCGCACCTTCGCACACTTGCAGCCACTGGCGCGCATTGGGTTTGGGGCAGCTTCCGACCATCCCCTGGTGCTTATGGAAAGGCTCGCAGTGCGATTCGCCTTTCCGCGCTCTTCGCGCAGCCCGTGATCGCCTCCAACATGGCGCACATCCGCCGCGACCCCATGGAGTCGCGGCTGAATTTCCTGTTCAGGTTCACTCACCTCGTGACGACGCGCCTGGGCGCCTTGCTGTCGAGCCGCTCTCACGACGCGCAGCTGCGCCTCGCGGCGGCGGCTCCCGCATCGTGGCCACAGATTCTGCTGGCGCTGTCAGCCCTGCAGTACCTCTTACTCCCGCGGCCACCTGAAGATACCCACGGCGAAGCGCTTGGACGACCTGCTGCCGAGCAACTCAGAATCTGCCGCTTGTCGCGGCCACAGCTACCACTTGATCACCGCGTCTGTCGCTGATGATTCCATTTCAGCAGTACCTGTACCACCGCGGCCTCCTGAAGTTGCGAGCCTCCTGTGGAGGCCACCATCGCAGGCTCCTATTGTGAGCCATCTCCTCCACCCGTCACCAATGAAGCCGACCTCGACAACCTCCCGAACGTGGCAGCGGTTGGCGGGCCCCCCACCTGCATGCTGGACACCGGCGCCATTCACGCGGAGTTTGTCGGCCAGGTCTGCGACGCCGACCTTGTCGCCGAGGCGCGCAGGCAGTTGGGCCCCCCCCCACCAGAGGCGCCCCCCGCGGTCCGCGGTGGCGAGGCGCGAGGGATGGACTCGCCCCTTCGGTTCACTGCTGTTTCTGGTAATTCCGTGCTTAATTCGCCCCCCCCCCCCATCCATGTGCCTTCTCGCCCCCTGCTTCAGGGACTGCGCCAAGTGCGCGCGGCAGGTGCGGAAGCTGTACCCCCAAGGGGGTACGATCGAAGACGAAGAGGGCTATCGAGGGTTTGGGATATACGCGTTGGCTGGCACGCGAGCAGATAAGAACGAACTGTCTCAAAGCATTGTCGTTGTAGTTCGGGGCCCATCAACCTAGTTTGGTGACGCGGCGCACTCCCTGATAGAAAGCAGGGCGCGGGCCCCGAGAAGGACGCTTTCGCCCCAGCGCGCTTGTTCAAATGTAAACAGTTTGGGGGCATTGCGTGGGCTTCTTGAAGGGGCCTCTACGACGCATCTTCGAGGCCTCCTAGGGCGGCGTTTTGGAGGTGATCGTTGAGCCTCTTGGGGGCCGTTTGGGCTTCATGGGGGGCATGCAGGAGGCATCTTGGAGGCCTCCTGGGGGTGTGTAGGATGTAATTTCTAAGTGTCACCTGTGCCGCTGGGTGCCTTTGTGGCGTCCCAGGAAAACAGGCGGGCTGGCAGCCCGATCGTCTCCACAGCTCGACGGGGCTGTGGGAGAGACTCTTGCCTTGTGGTTGGCCAGCCACAGTAGGGGCGGGCCCGCCGTACCACCCCTGAGAGGCCCGATGGGGTTACTCGAAGGGGTCCCCCGACGTGGGGGGCGCGGGAAGTTAAGTCCTTGGGCAGCGGGGCCTCCGCTGCTTGAGGCCGGCGGCCAAGTGGGGGTGGTGCCGGTGGCCGTGTCTCGGGGTGGCGTCTCGAGGCACCTCGCAACGGCGGCGCGGATAACGCCGGGGGCGGTCCGTGCCGCCGTTCGTGTTGCGAGGTCCGAGTGCATGTGAATTCATGCAGGCACCTTGGGCACCTCCCTTCGGGTTGTGTCGCCCAGGTGTTTTGTCCGGGCACAAAAAATAATAATTTCTAAGCCTTCGGGAGCGCTTTTGGGCGCCTTTTTG